AGCCAGTTCAGCTAACTTGTATTGACTTTATCTGGTGTAACAAAAAAAAAAATTCAGCTGCGAAATGCCCCTTTTGTCCTCCTGCAAAATCTCTCATATTAGTCAACTAGCTTTTATATTAAGAACTTGAAGTAGTATGTTTGTAGGAGTGAGGGGCAATCAAATCATGTTGTTGGGATTTTTTTTTCCATAAAATTTTTTGGAGACTTAGTTTTAGTTTAAATGTAATATAATTTCAAAATGCATATAGCATATATTATAATTTTTGTAAAATAGTTGAAATGTTTAATTTTTAGTGCAACCAGCATCCTAAAATATTTTTTAGTAGCACTCAATGCCCTAAGATAATGTTTAGTCAATCCAACATGTTATAGGATTTTTTGGTAAGAACTTAGTATCATAAGTTTAAAGTGATATTGGGAAAAATACTTTTCTTATGATAAAGATGTTAAGAATTTATTATAAACTATAAGTTCTACTAAAAATGCAAAAGTATGTTTTTGTCTTGAATTTTATTTGCTCTTTTGATTTTATAAAATGTAAAAACGTTAATTTTATCAAAAATACAACATTTTGAATTTTTATAATTTCTTATTGACTTATAAATTATAAAAATTCAAAATATGGGATCTCACTGTAATTTTTCCTACATTATATCTAATTTGCCAATCAAAACTCAATATTCGAATTTTTTTATAATTTATTATTGACTTATAAATATGTGTTGAGATTTTGGTGGAATAATTAATTATAAATATATATATATATATATATATAAACAAATTAACCTAAGTGTTATCTCCCAAGACGACATCGACGAAAAAGTGTACTCATATAATGATATAAATGAGGATTGGAACTGGAACTGGAACTGGAAGTACCAGGCACGGAGTGACTGGGTGCTTTAACGTAGATGCTGATGTTGTGTCTTTTCACGCGTCATTAACGTTAGAATAAGAATATACTTTCCATTTAGAGTGGAAAGGTTAAATTTGATTTTAAATATAATTTCTTAATTTATTTTATCTTCTATTATTTAAAAAAAGTATCCTTATTGATTGTAATGACTTTTAACAAGAGATGATTATAGTTATTTAATGCATATTATTAAAGATGATAGCTTAGAGAAATCAATACATATTCATGACAAATAACTAATTTAATTAATTTTCTTAATATTCCTCTTGTCTTAAATATAAGACCTATTTTATAGTGTAAATTGTATTACCAAATAGGTCTTATATTTAGAATTAGAGGAGTACCCCCAAATTGATGATTTAGCTTTTATATTAAAAACCATATGTGTTAATTTATTGGTTTGATTCTTTGGATAAAGAATATTCTACAATTTTGATGCTTTAAAATATGAACATTAATAGCCTGTATATTGCATTTTATTTAAACATTTTTTAGCCCAGTAATTTTAACAGTATTAATTGTATTAGAAAAAATATCTATATTAAAATTTTACTTATTAACATATTGAGTTTAATTTTTTGAAAAAACAATGACTAATATAAAAAATGATTATCTGAGACTATAACAGTAATGGAAAATTGAAAGGAAACTCATAAAATTCAAGAGTCCAACTAAAAATTTTTATAAAATTAAAAGATTAAAAGCAAACTTTACTAAAAGAACAGCAACTATTTTGCCAATTAAAAAAAAAAAACAGCGACTATTTTGCCGACCAAAAAAAAAAACAAGAACAAAAAAAAAAGCAGCAACTAATCAACAATATGATCTTTCTTAGGACGGAATTTGCAAATTCCGTCATTAATTTCCTAAATAAAAGGGAAAACCAATCCCTGGGTCCTCATGCTTTCATGGAGTTTTTAATTAGGACCTCATGATTTTATTTTTATCAATCAACTCCCTGTTTTTTCCTCCATTAGAGCCGTTGCTCCTTGAAGAATTTATTAAAAACAAGACAAAGGACCAACGGAGTTAGCTAACGGTGTTGAAGGCGTACGTGAATGCTGAGAAGATTTGGAATTTCTTGACTCTGATATGAACAGAAAGAAGAGAGCAAATGGCCATCGGTTCGTGGGAGAGTTATACTCCAATAAGTGAGAGATCTGAGTGGAAATTAGAAATTTTATTGGTCAGGGTAGAAATTACGAACACAGGGATTTCACCAAAAAAGAAAACAACAACAACAAACAAATACAAGTGACTCTGATTAACATATTCTATATGTATATTTGTAAACAACGCATTAATAAAAAGGACAAGGGGGAATACAAATGTTCAGGACACTGCAAAGACAAGAAGACCCAAAAGAAAGACGTCCCTGCAAGGACATTCCATAAAATTGGAACGATATAGAAAAGATTAACATGGCTCCTAGGTAAAGATGACAAGCACAAATTGAGAAAACCCAAAAGAAAGACCACAACAAAGTAAAACAATACAATGTGATTTCAGAGTTACTTTAGCGACCTCCTTGACGACAACAATCTTAGGGAGTATGATTTGCTTCTGACAGGGCAATGTACTTCAACGATGGTAACCAACTTCAGTGACACTAATCTACTCCTATGATGACGGCAATGTGATTTCAGAAAATCCTTTTTGGTGACTGGAGGAACTTGGATTTAGTTTCACTGAGTGGAGGAAGTCAGTTTCTCCCTTTCTCCATCACATGAATACACTCCTTAGTTTTCAAAAACAATCAGGGCATTTTAGTCTTTACGTCAAAAGTGAAAATTCCAGATTGGTACCTTATACCCATTTGGTCATTTTGCTTATTTGGATGCCTGTTTTGTCTTTTTTATTTTCATATGGTATTTTGTGGTCATTTTTCTCAACCAAAAAAAAGTCTATAGGGGTTGAAGATCATTCTTCAAATTCAGAAGATGACGTTGTAACAACAATTGCGGCAGTACCCCTAATTGTTATGAACTTAGACATGGCATTAAGATGGCAACAGGAACACCTATGCTTCTGTATATAGGCTCTAATGAAGACTCCTATAGTTAATATTAATGATACTAATAATCATGGTGACCTCAGTAGTGAAGAGGTTCAACTTGGTGATCATGTTAATCATTCAACATCAGTGAAGGTAACTTTGTCCCTACTTGAAATTAGTAAGGTTCAAGTTCATTCATCTCTTCAGTTTACTATACCGTCCACTTCATTGCTGTACTAGTCATTCTAACAATATCTTGTCCGTTGGAAAGGGTTTTGAGATACTTTCCGATACTTTCTAAGATTTGAATGGTCATTTTTGCCAAAGATTTTCTCTTTTGGTATCTTATATGTTTAAAGGAATTTCCCGACATAGGCATGTTACGCACTTTTCTCTCAGGATTTGTGTATCAATTTTAACTTGTCACAAGCTAAGTTCTTTAAGTGGGGAAGACATGATGGAGTATGAGATAAGAAACAATTAGGATTTAATTATATTAATTATGGTATATGTTAGGGATCTTAATAAGGATATTTATCCATTAAAATTAGGATTTATTACATTAATTGTCTTTTAATATTTTGCAATTATCTTTTTTGTCTTTGATAATGGGTGAGATATGATATAGGATTTTATTAACATATTATATTTCTAAAAGTATTATAAAAAGGGCTAGGATTTTTAGTTGTAATCAACTTTAATGATTGAATAAGAATTGATATTTCATGACCTTCTCTCCTCTTGTCTCCCCTTCCCTCTCAACTCCCCCTCTCTTCTCTTTCCCTCCTCTCTCTTTCACCTCCTTGTCCTGCATCAGAAAGTGTTCTGAAATTGAAGTGAAGAGAAATCAAGCAGTAGAAGATGTAATCTCGTGGGCACAAATGGAGCTAAGTTTGTTGTAAGAGAGAAAACGTGATATAGAAAGAGAAAAGCAGGGTAAAGTAAAGTCATTCCACCCACATTTTGAAATCCTAAATTGGGTCTATGACTTAATTAGAAAGGATAAAGTAGCATGCAACACCCTGTTTTGTAGATACATCTAATATCATAATTTTATTTATAATACATCCACAACCTCGATATTAGTTTTTTAGTTACATCCAATACTTTGATATTATTTTATGATTTAGGGTGTTCAACACATTATAAATAAGATTATGATGTTAAAAATGCAAAGAAAATAACATAAAGACATTGGATATATTATAAATAAGATTAGAATACCAGATACACATGAAAAATAAGACTAGGGTATTGGTGCTACTTTTTCTAATCAGAAAATTATTGAATTTGCCAACCTGGTTTGGGATTTTATTAGTTCAATTGACTTTATATGGGATATTTTTCCTTGTCAATTTCTTTGTTTCTTTTAAGGTGGAATACATTAGCAATATTCCAAACAAGTGTGATTTGTTGATATATACATTCATTAATTCATTAAAGATAACAGGGTTAACAAAAAAAGTACCAATATTTCCACATACACATTACACAACAATGCGACCAAACTAAATTCATAATTTTTAATATCTTCAATCAGAACATTCAATTTGATGATAAATTCAAAACGAAATATTTATTTATATGAAAATAATAAATGGTCCCTGGAAATAAAAAATCGAATGGACTAGGGATGTAGTTAAAAAAAATTGTGCAGATAACAAATATATCTTACAATAAAGATAAACGAAAGCATAAGTAGCAAAAATGTGCATTACACAACAAAGCACCAAACAAAAATTTCACAATTTATAATATCTTCCACACTATAACAACAAAGACGACTGGCTCGAAATTCAAAAATTCATGCTATCTTGAGCGCTTGGTCCCTGTCCATCAAAATAAAATGAATTAGTGCACTATAAAAAATTGTGTAAAAGTTCGTAAAAGAAAATGTGTAAAGACAAACATGCATAAAACATATATACACAAGCCAAGTAAGCATACAAGAATCAGGTCTAATGAAAAGTCTCTGTTTCAATCATGTTGGCAATGGTTCTCATGGTCGGTCGAGATTGAGGGTTGGTTTGTATGCAGGAAAGAGCTATTTGCCAAATCAAAGCCAATTTGTTAGAGTTTTGGTGCTTCATTGATGATAAACGAGGGTCCAAAATATCTTCCAAGATGATATGGCCTTCCCACACATCTGAATACATGATATAAAATCACCAGGATGCTCTCCCATTAGCAACTCAATGGCCAAAACACCAAAGCTATACACATCAACTTTCTCAGTCACTGCCATTGTGTACGCAAGCTCTGCACAAAGTACGCAACAGGGAGTAAATAATGATTTGCAGAATAAATTATTTAAGAAGCATATTTATATTTGTTTTAATCATATTTACTCACCTGGAGCAGCATAACCGTATGTGCCAGCAAAAGTGGTCCAAATTGATGAATAGATTTTCAAGAACCTTGCTGTGCCAAAGTCTGAGCGATGGACTTCGAAGTTTGAAGATAATAAAACATTCTTGCTTGATATGTCTCTGTGAACAATGGCTGGATTACAATCATGATGTATATATGATAAGGCCTCTGCTAACCCCTTGATAATATGAGCCCTCTGTGACCAACCCAACTCTAATGCTTCTTTATCGTTTCTAAGCATATCAAATAAGCTCCCTCTTTTGATGTGCTCATAAATTAGAAATGTGTGCAATCTTTGTGAGCAGAATCCATACAACTTCACAATGTTTCGGTGGCGAGTTTTGATCATGGCTTTGATCTCATTCTCAAAAGCTTTATATTCTTAATGTCTAAGCTATTTTCCTCACATACAAACTTTTTTATAGCAAATACTTTATCCTCCCCTGGCAATGTCAACTTGTAGACTTTTCCAAATGCCCCTGCACCTATGCAGTATTTCTCATGAAAGTTCTCAGTTGCTTCAATTATGTTATCATACATGATTTTGCCATCGAAGTGCCATATTGAGAATGGATTTTCCCTATTGACTCTAGCTTTTTGTTCTAAAGATCTAGAGTTTCTCTTACTTAGAATGACATAAATCAAAAGTAGTACAAACAAAACAATCAGTGCAGTTGCTATAGAAGTAGTAACAATTATCACAACTTTCCTTTTGTTACTTCCTCTAACTGGTTTTATAACCTTCACATTGCATGGTTGCAGACCTTGGATCCTCCCACATAAGTTTTTGTTGTGACTCAAATCTACTAGATTGGAAGAACTGAAAATCCCACTATCTTGTATTGGCCCCTCCAAATTATTGTAGGAGAGGTTGAGGATTGACAAGCTTTGCATTGTTGTTAGGGAACAATGGATAGGACCTGACAAATGAATTAGATTATACAAGCTGCATTTCTCAAATAAATTTTGCACTTATCCTTCTGAAGAGAGTAGGACCGTAGGGGGGCTCTTCCTTTTTTCTTTTTGATTTTTAAATTTATATATATATATATATCCACTCCTACAGGCACTCAAACATCACGGTCCTTGGCATTGACAGATTTTCAAAGCTTTGAATTGGTACAGTGACGTTGAAAGCTTGAATAGATTTTTGTGGTGGTGGGCAAAATGCAAAATGATGATTCTAAATTTTGCTAAAACCCTAACCCATCTTATGTGGTTCTGGAATACGGCCGAATTTTCTTTAACTTCTTTTTCCTTGCACTTGTATTTGAAAGTTGACGAAAAGTTGAGAAGCATATTGAAAAATTTTAAAATGTGGAATTATTTTCATGCACTATGAAGAAGCATGTGAACTGGATTCTATAGTGCTTTTAACATGGCGCAGAAATTTTTGTTAGACTACCAAACTAAGCTAGCTCATAGATTCCTGTACTGTTTGGAAAACTTTGTCCCCACATTATTATTTCCTTTTTTTTTACCAGCATTATAATTTCCCTTCATTGAATTCAAAAGCAGCAGGCCCAATGTCATTCTTCACATTCGAATACACGCATGTCTGCATTTAATGTTGCCAACTTTGCTTCAATTTTTTTTTTTCCATTTTTAAAGAGAGAAATTATATTAGCTGTAAGTTTGGTTTTTTCTAGAGGCTGTGAGAGATCAAATTTAGAATGTTATTTCCAGTGAGTTGTATTACTTCTAAATTCAGAGTCATACCTGAATGAGGAGTCCTCTAGTGTTACAAATTTTGCCTGACAAGGAGAGTTGACCACTAAGCGATCGATGAAAGAGAAATAGACTTCTTCTTGCATAAAATTAAAAAAGCTTAATTGAGATCTCTTCAGCCAACTCAGCTAACTTGTATTGACTTTATCTAGTGTAATAAAATAAAAAAAAAACTTCAGCTGCGAAATTCCCCTTTTGTCCTCCTGTGAAATCTGTTATATTAATCAACTAGTTCTGAACTAGAAGTAGTCTGTTTGTAGGAATGAGGGGCAATCAAATCATGCTGTTGGGATTTTTTTCATAAAATTTTTTTGGAGACTTAGTTTTATTTAGATATAATATAATAAATATAATACATATATTTTTTTTATATTGTATATTTGTTAATGTATAATAGTGCAATCACATCCTAAAGTATTTTTCAGTAGCACTCAATGTCCTAAGATAATGTTTAGTCAATCCAACATGTTATAGTATTTTTGGTAAGAACTTAGTATCATAAGTTTAAAGTGATACTGAGAAAAATACTTTTCTTATGATAAAGATGTTAAAAATTTATTATAAACTATAAGTTTTACTACAAAATACCAAAGTATGTTTTATCTTGAATTTTATTTGCTCTTTTGATTTTATAAAATGTAAGAACGTTAATTTTATCAAAAAATACAACATTTTGAATTTTTATAATTTCTTATTGGCTTATAAATTATAAAATTCAAAATATGGGATCTCACTGTAATTTTTCCTACATTATATCTAATTTTCCAATCAAAACTCAATATTCAAATTATTTTATAATTTATTATTGACTTATAAATATGTGTTGAGATTTTGGTGGAATAATTAATTATAAAATATAAACAGATTAACCTAAGTGTTATCTTCCAAGACGGCATTGACGAAAAAGTGTGCTCATATAATGATAAAAATGAGGATTGGAATTGGAACTTAGAGCACCACGCGTCGAGTGACTGGGTGCTTGAACATAGATGTTGACATTGTGTCTTTTCACGCGCCAATAACGTTAGAATAAGAATATACCGTCCATTTAAATAGCATAAAATTAGTTCAAAGGTTAAATTTGATTTTAAATATAATTTCTTAATTTATTTTATTTTTTATTTTTAAAAAAATATCTTTATTGATTGTAAGGACTTTTAACAAGAGATGATTATAGTCATTTAATGCATATTATTGAAGATGATAGCTTAGAGAGATCAATACATATTTATGACAAATAACTAATTTAATTAATTTCCTTAATATTCTTTTCGTCTTAAATATAAGACATATTTTGTAGTGTAAATTGCATTACAAAATAAGTCTTATATTTAGAATCGGAGGAGTACCTCCAAATTGATGATTTAGCTTTTATATTAAACACCATATGTGTTAATTTATTGGTTTGATTCTTTGGAGAAAGAATATTCTACAATTTTGATGCTTCAAAATATGAACATTAATAGCCTGTATATTGCGTTTGATTTAAATATATAAAATTTTTTAAAATGTCTTTTTAGTCTAGTAATTTTAATATTATTAATTGTATTAGAAAAAATATATTAAAATTTTACTTATTAACATATTGAATTTAATTTTTAAAAAAACAATTATTAATATGAAAAATTATTATCTGAGACTACAGTAATTGAAAATTGAAAGGAAACTCATAAAATTCCAGAGTCAAACTAAAAATTTGTATAAAATTAAAAGATTAAAAGCAAACTTTACTTTGCCGACCAAAAAGAAAAAAGAAAAAAAAGCAGCAACTAATCAACAATATGATCTTTCTTAGGACGGAATTTGCAAATTCCGTCATTAATTCCCAATTTTTTTAGTAAATTTTTGCTTTTAGTAATAGTTCAAATTCAAACGTTTAGGGCATATATATATATACACGCGCACACATATCTGTGTGCGTCATAAGTTCATAACCTTGCATTTATATATATATATATATATATACTGCAATAAATAAAAGGGAAAACCAATTATTGGGTCCTCATGCATTCATGGGGTTTTAATTAGGACCTCATGATTTTATTTTTATCAAGCAACTCCCTCTTTTTCCCCATTAGAGCCGTTGCTCCTTGAAGAATTTATTAAAAACAAGACAAGGGACCAACGGAGTTAGCTAACGGTGTTGAAGGTGTACGTGAATGCCGAGAAGATTTGGGATTTCTCGACTCGGAGATGAACAGAAAGAAGAGAGCAAATGGCCATCGGTTCGTGGGAGAGTTGTAATCCAACAAGTGAGAGATCTGTGTGAAAATTAGAAATTTTACTGGTCAATGTAGAAATTACGAACACAGAGATTCCCAAAAAAAAAAAAAAAAAAACAACAACAACGAACAAACACAAGTAACTCTGGTTGACATATTCTGTGAGAAAAATTTAGGTACTCTGAGAGTACCACCTCATCTGAACTCTACTCAATAAAAATGATTCAAGTTAATCTGTTGCATGTCAGCCTACTCATTTCTATTAATCTGTTGCTTTAAAAAATAAAAGTGCCAAATGGATTGTGATTTCCATTACTGCCCTCCCTTGTTTGTTTCTCAATCCCTACCCATTTTTGGGTCTCAAAACTCTCCCCCATCAGCAACTCAACACCAGCGATGTCGGCGACGTAATCCACTTGCAACCCTGGTGATTCTCGTTTCTACCAGGGTCTCTTACATGGTGACTTAACAGAACCCATCGATAGGTTGAATGGAAGACCATAGGTTGTAAGTCTTTTTCCCCTTTCCACTTTGTAGATCTGAATGGACAAAGCCGATTCTTTTTCATTGTCGCCTCTGCCACTTGCGATGCAGATCTGAACTACCAATAGATTTTTTTCTCTCCTCCCTTGTTCATTTTTCTGGGTTTTTCAATGTCCATGGGTGCTCCAAAATGGTTTCATATTTGTATTTGGTTTTTGCTGGAAATAAGATTTCTGGGTTCTTTAATGCTCATCGGTGGTTCGGTTTTTGGCATGGAACCTAAATCCTATTGTTTTCAATTTTAGAAATACAAATGAAACAACCCTTCCAAGAAATTGCAGATTCCAGCCAGTAAGTAAAATAATTAATGGCCTTCTCTTCATACAAGTTGAAGCTTCTGGAATGGAAATTAGCATTTATCTTTTATTTCTGAACTTGTTTGAGGAAAGATCTTAATTCAATTCAAGAAATGCACACAAAATACAGAAGTTGGAGATCATTCATTCAAAAATCATACTGTATAGCATATGGTCAAGATAGGAAATAAATACAGAAGAGATGGCCACTTTCGCTAATGTGGAAGATTCCGCCACCGTCACAGAGAATGAAGAGAAAGAGAAAAAGGGGGGGCGATAAAGAAAGGGAAGGAGCTTGAGACGGAGATCAGGGAGAGAGAAGGATTGAGAAAGACGAAGGGGCCAGTAATGGAAATCATAATATCTTAGGCTTTTTTTTTTACGCAACAAATTAATAAAAATGAATAGACTAACACATGGATAGAAATTATCTGAGCTAAAGTATTTTTTAGGTAGAGGTAGAGTTTAAATGAGCTGGAAGTCGATCTGGGAGCACCTAAGTATTTCTCCACATTCGATATGATATTTGTAAATAATGCATAAATACAAAGGACAAGGGG